TTTGTGGCTATTCAGAAGAATGGTAATGCTAGCTGTGGTCATTGGCTTTTGCCAATAATTAGAGGAATAAAACATTCTTTCTTCATTCTTAAGTCTCTGAAAGTCATCAGAACTAATTCTGGTGATGTTGCTGTCTTCTAGGGAGCCTGGATGATAAAGCTGTAACACTAAAGGAATGACAAAGCTTATTTCAGATTGGTTAGGTAGTATTATTTCTTCAGTGCCAGTTGTAGCTCTCAATACCACAACACCACTTGCTTAGGTCTAAGGAGGAAAGCAAAAGCACAGGTGTGAGGAAGCTCACATTGTACAACTGTGTTATCTGCAATGCAGACAAGTGATTTATGATTGCATGTTTCATGTAGCAGGAATGATATTGCCAGAGGTAAGAACAAGGAGGAAAATTCAGACTCCCTTCAGGGTGACAGACATCTCAAAAATAAAGAGGATCCTTTTTCAGTTTTCTGGCAAGTCCCATCAGGAGAGTCCTAGAGCAAAAAGGGAAATGTGACGTTCCCTTTGCAGGGACTACAACTGCCCCAGAATAACCAGTACTCACTGCCTAAGATCCCCTTGATGGGCAACTGGGAAAACTGGTGCTGTAACAGTTAACTGTAACAACACTGTATTCCCCTTCTCCACACACCTTGCTCATCTCACATTGTGCAATCCCACATTAATATAGACATTATTTTCATGGACAGCTCTGACCACTTCTCCTTTTGCTTTATAGAAAGAAATTACAAGCTCTGTAATCACCAAAATTACTGAAATTGGGCATCCTAGAGTTTTCCACTCCCTTCCAAAGAATGGAAAGCCCTAGGTCCCAGTGGCAGGTATTGGGAAAACCTGAAATTGTTCTGCTTCTCATGGACTGGGCAGGATCAAGGGAAGTGAGGAGATTCCTGTAGTGCTGCTAGGTTGGCAGGAGGGCCTTAATACTAACCTGAAGTTGGCTGAATGGCATAAACTTGAAGCAGAGTAAATTTTTGATGTTTTGGGTGACCATAATTAAAATTTCAAGTGCAATGCCAACTAAAAGCAGTCATGATTAATGCTGTATCACAGATACCTTGCACAGGCATACAAGCTCTGAGCCTTGAAGCAGTTGCATCTGGTCTGATCTAAATCATTCATGACAATATATAAAAGTTGAAACCTTGAATAAGGATTGAATAAGGATTGAACCCTTGAACTAACCATTCCATTCCTTCTCTATTTTCAAACTAGTTCGTACTTTGGGTTGTTTGTTTTTTTTCCCTTTTTGGCAATTTAAATCAATTTTATTTATTTTTCAACTCTGCTGTCCTGTGCTGCCTTTGGAAAGTGTTCACTTGTTCCATTCCTTCCCCCTTAGATATTTAAGGGAGTTTTGCAAGGAAAATCAACACCAGACCAGGTGCTTGGCCTGGATTTGGGGACCCTGGGCATGCCCTGGTGCAGTGTCTGCAGCCACTAAATGACATGTGGTGAGGGAACCTGCACCTCCTGGATGGCACCTGGATGGTTTCGGTCTGTTATTATGATTAAAGGATAAATAATATTAAATGTTTCCTTAATAGGAGAAAATGCACAGCATTGACAGTAGTGATTAAGTTCTATTAAACAGTTGTTATTTTGGACACCAGGTGATTAGTACATTCAAACCACTTAATTTCCAGACTTTGGCACCTTGGTCACTACTAACTCAAACCATAAAGTTCAATGAATCAAGTTGTAAATAGTTTTATTGGTCCCATGTCGGAAAAAAAATTGAGGGTTGCGAAGTTCCTGGATGATTTCAAGTTATGCATTTCTCAAGTCCTTGTCTTTCTGTTTTCTGTTCTTTAGTTATTCATCACTGCAGAAAGTTTAAACTCTATTTCTACCTTTGCGAACACTTAACCCAATGTGTTAATTGAGAGCAAAGATTTGTATTCCTAGAATAAAATAAGCCAAATGGAGAGAGCTGGAGTTTTGCACTAAGATTCACACTGCTACCAACATGCCACAGTTATCCAAGGGAGGAATTTCCTCCAAGGACGTGACTGGAATTGCTCTTACAGCCCCTGGAGAAAGGTCCGTAGCTACACACATGCTGCTGACTACTGGATAAAACACAGAACCTTATGTTTCTGTTGGATTGTATTTGGTTTTCTGAAAATAATTGCCAACTTTTTGAGAATTAATGATTTTGTGTTCATTTTATGATAAGTTGTCCTTCAAAGTAGATTTTATTTATTTATTTTTATCATTAATGAAAGTTTAGGAATTAAATGGTAAGATCTGGACATATTTCATATGTCAGTGCTATACAACAAAACCTCCTTAAAGTTCATTTTAATACCTTTTAAGTGACTGGGAGCAAATTTTTAGTTTTTCCAGACGAATTTGAGGATTAGAAAGATGTGCTGGCTTTATCCTGGTTTGGCTTTCAAATTGCCATGTGTCCTGTTAAGTGTGTTTATGATTCCAGTGCCCCTTGCATCACTTACATGCCACTTTAAAAATTGCTGCCGAGGTGTTTATGATGAAGTGCCTTTCCCAAGTGGAAGCGGACTTTCATTACCCTGCTTAAAACTCATCTGGTTTTACGGTGTGGTTGTAGAAATGTGTATGTTTACCAGGGTAAGCCCTTCATATTCTCTTTGGTGTACATGTATGTGCCTGTAGAAGTTGTGTGTGTGCTCGTGTGCCTGGGCAAGGCAAGGCAAGACAGCACCATAACTCCAGGGAGAATGGAGGAGGTGACTGCGAGTCACCCACTTACTCACTGGCATATACTGTGGGAAACCTGTATTTTGTGGTTTTGTAGAGCACTGGGTTCTTAGACCAGGCAGGCAAAAAGGCAGACATCCCCTTCTCATTACCAAATTTATCACTCACAACTCCTATGTAAAACAAACTTAGTGTCACCTCCGAAATGAAGAACTGCATTGGAAATCACACCTAAGTACAGCAGGTGCTGAGCTGGCAGTTTCACAGCAGATTGTGAAATTTGATCACACAATGGGAAATGGAGCCACTCCTTGAGGGCAATATCTGGAAATGTAATGGGGAACCACCCTTCAAAGGTGATCTGGGTAATAATGGGGCTTAGAAACACTTTCTACCTGCTTTGCTTAGAAAATTATGAAAATGTTTAATAGTGTTACTGAGTTTTGCACAAGCACACTATATTTAGCTGTACCTCGACTGGTCCTGAGCTCAGACACACCCAAGGCAATAAACTGCCCAGTACCACCATCACTTCAAGGTGGAAACTAGTAGTGAAATTTTCAGTTCTCTTTATGGTATTCTTCTCTTCTCTTCTCTTCTCTTCTCTTCTCTTCTCTTCTCTTCTCTTCTCTTCTCTTCTCTTCTCTTCCTCTTCCTCTTCCTCTTCCTCTTCCTCTTCCTCTTCCTCTTCCTCTTTCTTTTCCTCCAGCTTTTCACCCTATTTTTTCTGGAAGTTGGACATTTGTACACCCCTTCAGTAACTTCCATTGCAGATGTTCTCTGGTAAGTCTCTAACCTTTATGCACTCATCCATGCTAATGAACATGGAACACCCAGCATTAATGGGTTGGCCCCATGACACTCTGTGCTACTTGATGTCTCTCTTCTTTCTTCTTGAGATTGGCATAAAGATTGCACCTGTGCTCCTTGCAGGTACTTACACACACCACAGCCTCTGAATAATGTAGACTAATAGAAAAGACTTCAAAGAGCCATAACATAGTTTTAAAGGGCTGAAAGGAGAGGCTGATGGGAAATGTTATAAGAATTCCACCTTTCCTGCTTAGCTAAGCAGTAACTTAGAAGAACATGTAAACTCTGTGCAAGTGTTTCAAAGAAAACAAAAAGCAAACAAAAGCTGTGCACGCTGCCCTGGTGCTGCAGACAAAGAGAGAAGAAGGGAGAGGCTCACAGAAAATCATCTGCTTGAGTTTGTCATTTTTAGGCCCTCAGACACAGGGTGAGCAGGCTAATGAAAATATTTAGGGAGATTTGGATGTTATGTGATAGAGGTAAATGCCAAGGGAAAGGAGAGTGGTTTAGCAGTGACCTGAACAAGTCATTATGTGTTTGAAATCAATTATACCCAGGAGCTCATTAGCAACTGAGAATAAATGCCTGTCCTGCTTGTGCTGTGGATTTTCTCTTGGATCCCTATCACACATCAAAACCCTGTCTGTCAAAGCCACTGAAGGGTTAACAACAGGCTGTTCTTTCCAGGGCAGTGATTTCTGGGAGCAACTGGCCAGTGAAACCATCAGTGCAAGAGGGATCAGTGACCAGCAGGCACCAGAATTGTCTGGAGAGTAGGAACTGGAAAGGAACTACTGCAGGTCAGTGAATTCTGGCATTTTGTAAGTCAATTGTACACTGCACAATGTCCTTGTCTCCTAATATTTAGGACTGAGAAAGAAAGAAGTTTTGAAGAGCACATACTGATTTTGAGTGAAATTCCCTCATGTTCACTCTGATGGAACCAGTATGGGGATGCCACCAGAGTGGGACTTCTGAAAAGCCACATTCTTTGTGCAAAATGTAGGCAGGCAACAACAGAACAAAGATTTCAGTGCAAACCTCAGGGTCAGATGTTGAATAACTGCTCTGTCTGAACCCAACCTCAGTTATGGTGCATTTTATATTCATAACAAGGGGACTGCAAATAAATGTATTTCAAAAATAGAAGGGGCTGACAGTATGTGATTTGTCTGTAATGCTGTCAATGCCCATAACAGTATATAATAGTCATGTACAGTTTGAACATATACACATATACCGGTGTTTCTTGTGACAATACATGCATGAAATCAGGAACATGGAGTCTCTCGACTTCTTTATACATATCTATATATATACACATCTCTCTTATTTCTTGCTGTAGATTTCAAACTTTACAGGTGGAGTGGAAAAGCACTTGGGGAAAATACCCGTCCAGAGACAGAAAATCTAAAAGTTCCTGGGACAGCTGAAAAACCAAAAGGTTACCTCGTCTTACTGCTGGGGTGACAAAACTGACATATGAACAGCACTGTTAAACAATTTTATTGCTGTTATCAACAGAACGGTTTTGCTTGAGGGTGGATTGCCCTTTCCCACAGAACAGACCTGTGTCTATGCCACTGCCTTGGCAAAGCTGGCGTGGAGGGCAGTCCTGCTCTCACTGCAGCTCTAACAGGAACAGTCACTGGTCTCTTCACCTCTTCACGTTATGGGCACGAGCCTGTCTTGTTTGCCCAAGTTGGGAAAATTTGCAGCTGGAGGAAAGATGAAGTCCAGGTATTGATGGAAAGAGTTATTGTCAGCACTCCCAGAATGTTGAGTACAAATCCAGCTTTGGCCTAGAATTATAAAAAAAGAAGCACTGTTAGTTGAACTGAGCAGTTTTTCTTCTTTCTTGCTGGTTGGGATTGTTTGTATTGACAGATTCCCTTTGACTTTTTTTCACAACTCTATCAAATTATTTTAAGCTGGTTTTCTTCACAAATATAATTTGTACTGGGGGAAAATGAGTTTCCATTGGATAAAAATCCTTAACTAGAAGTCCTGTAGAACTTTCTCTTCTGACCTGACATTTATCCCTAATGTTACTTTGGAATTCTTCTTGGATCAGTTGTAAGTTAGAAAAGTTATCAAGAGACATGGCATCCGTGTCCATCTGTCTTTAACACAGGGATTTCTCAGGGCATCAGGGCAGCCCAGTGAGATGTGTCAGACTGTCCCCCATTCGTGCAGAAGGACTGCCCAGATGACAGGGCTCTTTGACACCTCTGTGCTCTACATTTGGGCTTTTCAAGCACTTTGCTGTTTCTTGTTGGCAGCTCTTCTTGGAACATCTTCAAGGGGCCTTGGCTGTTCTTTAAAAGCTCAATAGCACCTTTCTAAGGCTCTAAGTGAGTGTGACCCTTTATTAATGCACATGTGTGTCTTCTTTCCATTTTGGATCAGCCCAGCACAGTGAGATTTCTAACACTCTCACAAGAAGAACCAATACTGGAAAAAGGAAAGCTCAAATCTAGAGGTGAAAATTCTGACAAGAAGATGATTTTTCTCACCATGTCAATAACCCTGAGCTGTCCATAGGAGAAGACAATGGCATTGGGAGGAGTGGCCACAGGGAGCATGAACGCCAGCGACGCAGAAAGTGTGCAGGGCAGCATGACATAGAGTGGGTTGAGGCAAATGGCTTCAGCCTGTGCAGGAAGAGAGAGCAAAGAAGATGGTTTTGATACCCAAAAATGCAGAGAAATCTTGTGTCAGAAAACTGATTGTATTTGTCCCTGTCAGAAACCTCGTTCTTCATCAAACACTGCAGCCACTCAGGTTTTGGTGCTGCTTTAGACACTTCTAGTCCACGTCTTAATGCAACAAATGCAAGAATTGATTTTGTGGTCAGGGCTTTGTGTTCCTGATGCTGCTGTATGAATGGCTAATAATGTTGGCATTCACCTCTAAACCCTGGGAAAAAATTGTAGAGTGGCTTCAAAGTGGTTAAGAACAAAATGAAATGATCAGAGGAGACAGGGCAACCCAAGCTCTGAAGGTGAGTGGATCAGTGTAAGGGTTTGCTGGAGTCTGTGGCCTATGCAAAAAGATTTTGGAGGAGCTTCTTGCAGTTTCTATCTGGAACCAACTTTTCATGGTGCTGAACTATGTCTACCCCAGCAACAGGAATCTCCAGTGGAAATGCAAAAAGTCTGAATTAGGTCATACTATCACCTTCAGAGAGTTCTGGAAGGCCAGTGGTCGGAGTGAAATACAGTAATGGAATGTTGCAGGGAAGCAAATGCTGCTGCTGTTGCTGTCTCCGTGCAGAACAAATTGGAAAAAACAAGTACAGCTGGCAGTGACCTCATGGGGTTGTTTAGGCCAGAAGGCAAAGTCTAATATGACAATGGATTTAATCCCTTTATTCTTCACCAGCAATGATTTTAGAAGGGTTGAACTAAGCACAGTGTATTTATACAGAGATATATTCCCACACACACACATATGTATGTTTTAAGTCTTGTATCCCTGTTTGGATACACAAACCAGTGCTTGGCTATGGCAGCCAGTTAATTTTTTCAATTGAGCAGATGTATGCTTGGAGAAGAGTTGAAAACTGTTCTTATAAGAACATTTTGAATTGCTGGAACCTACCATTGAAGCCACAATAGGGAGGAAGAGGGTGGTGGTGGCCACGTTGCTGGTGCACTCAGTGAAAGTGGCAACGAGAAGACACACCAGGAAAGCAATTGCTGATTGAGGGACGTTCTGCAGAGGGGTCAGTTTGGTACCCAACCATGCAGACAGACCAGATTTCTGTAACAAAAAAACAGAGGGCTATCAGGATAGTAGACTAGAGAGGAAATAACCACATTGCAGTCCAGTTACAGTTCTCATGTCAATTCAACCTTCCCTTGTCATAGCAGTTCTCATACAAACTGCTCTCTGCAGAGAAACATGTAGGAGACAGTGTTCATAGAGAGGATCATTTGTTAGGTTACCTAGAAATAAACATGCTGTCCCTTCCAAAGAATTTGAAAGACAAAGATACTACATATGTAGTGCATTATTAATAGCTCAGATCATTAGTTGTACATGATCAATATTTTGGGCACTTTTTAATGTAAACAAAGGTCTTTGAAATAATTTTCTAAAATGCTTTCATAGATCTTAGCAGATGTTCTAGTGATTTAATGTGATTTCATCACATTGTCTGAGATCTTGATAATTATCTGAAGCTTTTCACACCCTCCATTCTTCTCAGTCGCTGGAAAGTACCAGCATCGTCCCTGTCATTCTGGACCTTCTACTGCAGCTTTTTTGTATTTGATGACTTATTCTAGAATAAATTACTCTAATTTCTTAAATCCTTCCTTTAACAAGCATGTTTCTCATTCTTACTGCCTTCCTCTAAACTTTCTTCATATAGCCATCTATTGTTGAAGACTGATAGCCAAAACTGAATAAATTACTGTACCTGAGGACTTAGTCCTGAGAGAAGAATTATATTTTACATGTCTTATGTATGATCAACCTACCTATAGTTTCCAGTTGTTTGCTTTTTTCTCAGTAGTAATATTAAAACACTGAGAAGAATAAGGTGTATGAGCAGCTTTAAAACTCAACCTGTCATTTCCACATCTTAGATTTCCTCCTGTTTCACAAACTGAACTGCATCCTCGTTTTCTAGAAACACTTTTACAGTTAATTTTGATCTTTGAATTCTAAACTAGTATTCCAGGTACTTGAAGCCTTTTTCAGTTTCTTTATTGTCTATGTACTTCATAATTGTATTTATCATCATTTACCATCACTCAAATAGTTACTGAAAAATAACGTGTAGCACTGGACTCCTGGCAGATTCCTGCAGAAGTACAGCAGCACATCCTTTCAGTCTGAAAGCCAGATGATTTTATCTGCTCCTGAAGTTTCTCTAGCAAGCTCTAAATGTATCTTCTAGCAGTTTAATTTAAATCCTATTTCCATAAGTTGTTCTTTTGAGACAGTTTAGAGACCCATCCTGGGTACATTATCTCCTCACACTTGCCACATCAATTAATTTTTATTTAAAGAACCTTTAACTTGTTGGGATAGTTTCTTAATCATATTCTTCTCCAGAAACACAGTTAATCATGTTGTCCTGATTGGTAGTACCATCCCATTGCACAGCTAACAATAAGGGTTTGGTCTAATCACAGGACTCCTCCTAAGGATGGTGAGGTCTGTCCCACTGCCAGTAGCTGAGGAAAGGCACATTTGATGCTCCCAGTGTGCCCTCTTGTGTCATAGGACAGCATGAAGAGCAAGGTGGAAAACACCCAGGAAGACACAGATCCCAGGTAAGCCAAGGAATGTTACCTCACTGCCTTTGGCTAAGGCAAAACCACCTCCCAGCAGAAACACAATACTCCATGGCATTTTGTGGTGAACTGTTTTCCAGTCCAGGAGAGGTGGAGGTGCTTGGAACTTTGACTTGCCATCTGAAATCCAAAAAGATTTTGTAAGCCATATTACATTCTCCAAAGAAAGGAGAACTTCTTGGTGGGACACGAGTTTAGTCTGAGCATCAGGAAACCCTTCTGTCAGCAAGACCTGGAATTACCCCCCAAAGCAAATGCTAAAAGCCTCATCAGCAAAGGTTTTAAAACTTGACTTGCAAAACCACTAATGAATGATCTGCAGCTGCTTCCAAAAGCACAGTACAATGCAAGGAAGGGTGAGCTAAAAGTGTGGCAAGATATCTGCAGAACGATATTTGTTTCTGTTGTTTTCTCTCCTGAAGATTCCAGCCTCAGAAGCTTTTACACGTGTATAGTAGAGGCAGGAACACTACTGGGATAAGAGTTTCCTAATTAGTTAAATAATGAGAAGCAGAGAACTTTTATGGGATATGTGCCTTGCCTAACCTAAACAGAAAGCTGTAGCTATGCAGGAAGAGCAGTTTGGAATCTTATTTAATATTTGAAAATTCCTTTGTAAACCTCAAACGTGAAATTTCCCATGTACTATTCTGGCAGTTGATTTTTGGTGGTTCACTAAACTCACCTGTTTGTGCATTGGAAAAGCCAGAAGGGATGAGGAACAACAAAATTGCAACGAACATGGCAACTGTACCATCAGTGACATACCTGCAACAGACCAGTCAGATATTTAGTCAGCTATGTTTTCGTTTTTATAAAATCCAGTGTATTTCATTTTATTCAAAATGAGGAGAGGTGGTCGTACTTTTTTTTTTTGTTGAAAAGATTTGTTGCCCAGCCTGTAGTAAAACCAGGATCTCTTGTAAACCAGAGCACTACCAGGAGTATGAAGAGGGACAAAACTGCTATTTCTGCAAATTTCATTCTGCCCAACTTCCTGCTCTCTTCCTGGATGACGGCATAGGCCTCTTTCTCCTTATTCTTTTCTGCGGCACTTGCAGTACAACCAAAATTCTCCTTAAAACTAGAAGAAAATGGACAAGAAATATCAGAGACATTTGCCAGACAGCCTCTGTTAACAATTCAAATTTTAGACTCAGTCATAACATCTTTTAGATATAAGAATATTGCAATTAAATATATTATAATCATAGCATTGGCAGCCGTGGTGGGTACTAACTGCATTGCACCATGGCTCGCCAAGGTGATCAGAAGGAAGCTTCCTGCCCCTAAAAGCTCATGATTTAAATACAAAAAGAATTGTGCTATCTGAGCACATGGGGAAAAATACTGTAGAATCCCAGAATGGTTTGGGTTGGAAGGGGCCTTGAAGACCATCTCATTCCAACCCCCTGCCAAGGGCAGGGACCCCTTCCACTAGACCAGGACAAGCTCAGTGTGACTGACAAGACTGTATGATCACTAGGGAGTAAAGAGTTGCCAAGCTTTTAAAAATGACAGAAAATGAGAATTTTAAAGGAGGAATTTGAAGATGAAAATACCATTTCAGGTATTACAGCACTCTTGCTATGTAAAACAAGGCAGGTTGGGGATAATACAAACTTGATAGGCTAAGTATTAAACAAATAGGTAATGTAAGCTGGGCATTGGGGGTGATTAGCATTGGAAATAATAGCACAAGACTAATCCTCTAGGTCTGAAGCAACTCTTGTCACAAAGGCATTTCCTGCTTTGAAGCACAGCAATCTCTTGGGACATGACAACAATGCCACAGAACAGGTCATACACTGCTAGAACTTCCTATTTGCATCTACAGAGTGTGTTTAGCTGGGATTTGATCCGATTCCTCAGAGGAGAAGGTACAGTATTTTAACAGACACTGAGTGTGCTGTTCTGCTTGCCTCTGTTCTGTGTGAGGAATTTGTCCCTTGCTGTGTTTTTCCCCATCAATAAAAGGATCACTTGTGCAAAGAGTCCTTGATCACGGGCCCATCAGCTGGACTGCAGAGGGTGAAGGGTACTCACTTAAAGCCCAAGAACAGTATCTGTAGCCAAAGCCATGCCAAAACCAGTAACACAATCATGGTGGGGAAGGCAAAGGAGAACCAGGAGACAAAGGTGATGACACCACCATTATTAGGATAGAGCCTGTAAAATGCAAGTAGCCGTTAGCATCCAAAATTCCACATTCTCTTCTGTATTTATTTAATGAATTAGAGCAGGAGAGGTACTGTGAGGCCCCTTAAGGAAGAGAAGCTCACTTCCCAGCAAAGTTACCAAAGTGATATTTTTTTTCTCTATGCTGCCTGGAAGTCAGTTGTACAGAATGATGCAGTTTCGCGGGTAGTAAATCCCACATTCCACCAGACTTACTCTTCAACTTGTCCTTGCAGTACCAGATTTGGTCCTGTCCCAGTCAGAGTTGCAATCCCTCCAATACTGGCTGCGTAACAAATGCAGAGAGACATTCCCTTGCAGAGTTTCAAGTGTTTCTCCTCTAGATCTTCATTTCCCTTTTTGTCATCCTCAATCGCCACGACATGAGCATTACCTGGATGCCAAGGAACAAAAGAGATGCAGAAGCTTGGTTGGACAGGAAAAGATATTGTGCCTGCACAGCTCAGTATTTCAAGGCTAGGACACAATGGAACTCAAAGCTGAAGGAACCAAGTTTCCTCTTTTTAAGACTGGCATTGTTAATTTTTTGATCTTCTGCCCATTTTGCTGACCCTTCTAGGTGAACTAGGGTGACATCTGAACTGCACATGGAGGGGAGAAAGGTAAGAATTCAGGGAGTTACAAGAGAGCCAGAGGAGCTGGGCTGAAGGGAACTTGTTCTGTACCAGCACCTGACCGCTGGCACTGGGACTTACAGAAGCACTGGAGTCATCTCAAACATGAGGAGAGGGCAAGACAGCTGGTAAAGAGATAGTGTTGCTTGATTGTGTAGCTTTGGATTAGAAAGATCATTTTAATCCCTACCCTTCTAGCTTGAAATAGGCCAGAAATTTTCCCGTGGGAATTCCATATTATCTGATCTGTTACACAGTAGGCAAGAACTGAACTAAGACAAAGATACAGAAAAATATCAAGCCTCATGGAAAGGCTTCAGCCAGTGGAAAATGTATTCCTGTTGTTGGTTTATTGATTAGTTATCATGTCTTTGTATCTTTTGATCTATTTCCAACTTGAGTCTAGTCAGCAGATTTTTATGGTGGTTTTGTGTGGCTCCTGGAAGAGCCTCATCAATGCTGTGTGATGCAGTCAGGATGCTTGAGGTGTGTTCTTCTTTTAGAATTTACTGACAGCCCTTATGCCAGTGAAGAAGGCATCAGGTCATCCTCCATCACCCCAAAGAGAAAGCTGCCCAGAATTCACTCACCTTTCCCCTCTGGAGTTGACCCTTCCTGCACTTCGCCAGCACCAGTGGACTCCAGTTCTGACTTGCGCAGCTGTTCCAGCACTGCCTGTGCTATGGGGACCATCATAGCAGTGGTGGCCGTGTTGCTGATCCACATTGACAGGAAGGCAGTCACCACCATGAATCCCATGAGAAGTCTGGAATGAGAAGGTTTGGAAAAGCTGGATCAGAACTCAGCACTGCAATGCTCTATTGTTGTTGCAAAGATTTGACTACAAGTGCTGGCTTTGGAACACGCTCAGCATTTCCCACCCAGCACTTCCTCTTACCCTCGTCTACTTTGGGAGCGACATGGTGAGATTTTACATTCCTTTTTCTTTTTTTTTCAATTTCAACCAATTTTTTACATTCTTATGACCAGGAAAGTGGAACCTGGTAGCTTGGAGCAAACAATTTATCTAGTCAGGTCCTGCTTATTCTGCATGCTTCCAAGGAAGACATGCCATCTCAATAACACATGTTAATGCATTATAATATATTTTAAAGAGGAATTGCAAGCTGAACTTGATCCCAAGTGGCAATCAGTTTAAGGCATAAGGATGAGGATCTCTATTTTTCTGTAATTTTATCCCATCTCTATT